CTTGTCCCTGGGTTTGTTAACACCACTTCCTTTCCCCCCACCTCCCCCTCTCCCATGTCCCCCCGGAACAGTCCTCCAGATTGTTCATCCAGCCTATCTTATTTAAACGCTTCCATAACTTTTAAAAATACTTAAGCCACTGAATTGTATAGTATTCAATGGTATACTATGTGAATTATCTGTCAATAATTATCTGTCAATAGAAAAAGAGGAGAAAATGTGGAGTGAAATCCAAAATTAAAAAAGAAGCCAGGTTTACTGGTGAGACTGACTGATGGAATCCCCTTCATCACCTTTGAGGTGCAGAACTAAAGTCACCTCCATGCTGGAATAATCAAACTTTAAAGAGCAAAAGGGCAGCATCTACCCCAGAACACAGTGGAGAGGGTTAGGAAAGGAGGAATGGAGACAAGCAGCAGGGAGGAAGTGAGCTAAGCGACGATTCATTGAGGGGATTGCACTGGATGCGCTGAAACAAAACATGCTTGCTCCTCTGTCCACCTCCACCTGCTTCACAATAAAACACGGTTCCTAAAACCAAAAAATTAGCGTCACTGTTATTATGAATCAGTGCACTAATAGACAATAAAACCATTTTCTAATCATTTTAAGTTTAAACAGTAAGGTTTTTAAAACTTAAATTACTTTAAAGTTAATGGTTTGGGTCTTTTTTAGCAATTTAAAAAGTTAGATTTGAGCTTTATTCTGTAGTCTCACTTCCTGATCTGTGTGTCTGTTATGATTCAGTTCAGAACTTACTACGCGCCAGGCACCAAGTGAAGCAAATGAGTGTAATACTGAGCCAGATGTTCCATGCCACGGCCCCCCCCACCCCCACCCAAGCCAGCTACCTGGGTAGATTCACATATGCAGAAAGAGCTGCTCCTGCGAGACAGGAGGGACTGCCAGCACAGAGGCACAAACGCTGGGCAGCGGAAGGACAGCCAAGCAAAGTCATTCCAATGTCTGCACAGAGGAAGAATTGATGTGGTGGCTCCGGGAGACAAGGGCCAGGGGCACGACTTTGGGGGCATCAGCGTGGGAACAGGAGAGGAACAGACTAACGAGAAGTCATAAACGCAAGAAGAGTTCTAGACACTGCTTTGCCTCCCAGTTCAGAACACAATAAAGGAGGCCATTCCTTTCCATCTTTCTTTCCTTCTGTCCAAACTCATTAAACCAATCTTGGAGAAGAATGCAAGGAACAGCAGTGACATTTAGGAGTCGACAGCGGAGATGTTCAATTCCGGAGATGTTCCTGTGCAGTTTTCTAGCACAAAGATCGGACTTAAACATGAATCAAGAGCCTGGCGGCTAACACGTAAAATCTCGAATGTCCAAAGTCTCTCTTGATTCATTCTTTTATTCACAGCAGGTTTGCTAGCGTCATCTAACTCCCAAAATGTTCCCTGGCTCTCCATCCTGACTTCTCAGTGTGATCTCACTGATGGCCTTGTTCCCTTCTACCGCTTGTTGCCTTATCTTCCAATAGACCCTACAGAACCCTCCACCGGTGAAACAGCACCCTGACTGTTCCTAAACACACCCTTCTAAGCCGGGAGCCTCCAGCCTGAGCTCCAGAACTCCACCATGCATCCTCTCTGCTTCCCCATTCCCAGCGGTGGCTACATTGCCTTTCTGTCTAGGGGCTCCTATAGAACTTCCCATCCACATTTCAACTTCTCATGGATCTTTTTATTTGCATCTTATAGCTTCCAAATGCTCATAGGGGTAGGACAAGGAGTTGTCTCAAAATACGATTGTGATAATCACTGGAAATAGATGCATTTGCCTGTCCCCCTCCTCATTAGTAGCATGCTTTCAACAAATACCTGTTACTTCAAATAGCTACTTCAAGACATTCAGTTAAATATATTATAAAATTGTCACAACCTTTAGATGACTCACTTCCTGGTGGGAGAAGAAGTCCCGAGGAAGTCTCTCCAAAAATGAGGCTAATGAAAAGCTGGACTTTTTCCCCTGCGCGTCAATGACCTTGAGGTAGTCAGGAGAAGGGCTCAAGAAGGCATAGAGTGCTTCACTCTGACAGAGTCTTTCATCTGAAAGCAGATTCTGTAAAGAAAGAGGACTAGTTACTCCTAAGCAGGAACAGACTCAGGCTACCAGGAGCTACTGCAGGGGAAAGTGACCAGGGTAGAACTGCCTGTGCTGGGCAGGTACTTTCAGAATGCTAAACCTAAACCCATTTCCTTTCCCCAGAAGTAAGGCAAGCCAGACCAGTTCTCAGAGATTTTAGTAGGAGACCTCCCCTCCAGGCTCACTGCTGGTATGCTCACCATTCTGCTGGTGGGGATATTGTATCTGGTTTGCACAATTCCTTCTCGCCCCAATTCATGCAACAAAAAGTCTTACTTCCCGGGAGGCACCACCTTCCAGTCACCTCCATCTTCACTCTTTTGCATTGGAATAGCTACACTTTTCGCACATTACCCATGAAGCCACTAGTAAGCCACCCTTTTGTTGCTGTGGCCAGACTGAACAATAACTGAAAAAAGAACTCTGAGTTATTTATCACTTGGTGGCACTGCCTGCAGAAGAGTTTAATGTCACCATGCTGCCACCTTCCAAAAATTGCTTGTTTACCTAATTATATAACTGGCCCTTAAGCTGTAAATTTCCTAACATGCTATGTGCACTTATCTAACCTTAGCAGTGGAGGCAGGAGAACGTAAGTTCTTTTAAGTGTAAGCAAGTGTTGGAATGACAGTGAGTTAACAATGGGGCCACAGAAGGTTTTGGTGCCTAGGACTATAAGATAAAGAGCTCAGGAACCCCGGAACGAAGAAACCAGTGGGAACTCTCTGCTGCTGATGACATACACTGGGGTGATCACAGAGGTTCAGTTCTAGGCCCATGAGTTTACACTCTGTTCATTCATAGAGTGACACCTGACCCATGTTCCCTAGAACCAGAAGCCTTGAGAGGGTCCAGCATTGCTAGTCTGGGGACCAGTAACAGTACTACAGTGGTTGCCAGCTTCCTGTACCCTGCAGAAGTAGTTTGATCACAGCAGGTCTGTGTCAGGGTAGTAAAGGACATTAAGGGGGAAACTGTCCCTTGTAGTGAGTGCTTGATTCATTCTTCAAAATTTTAAATGTTCTGTTAAAGAGGTATGTGCAGGTAGATTAGGAGTGAGGTGCTTGCCCTTCACCTGCTTCTTCAGCAAATCCACACTCTAACATTATTTTATAAAAGAGCAGAAAATGATATTAATTATAATTCTCAGGCTTAATACAAGCAATCAAAATACAGAAATAATTCAAGTGATAAATCCTTGGCCTAAATGATATTCTACTATGGAGGAAAATAAAGTTAAATTTGTAAGAAATGTTAGCAATAGATCATGAAACATAATGTCTAAAACAGTGAGAGAGGAGCTTACAGTAAGATGAAAGACAAGGCGGAGCCGCTGCACACAGACCCGGCACCAGAGCAACGAGAGACCTGATGCAACAGACACACAGGATGATCCTGCAACCCTGCGCAGCATAAGAAATAGACCGCGACTGAGAGAAGAAGCCCAGACTGGGAGAAGAAGCTGAGCAAAAGCGGCCTGAGAGGAAACAAATGGGCGAGCTGGCCGGAGGGAGTGCCGTCTTAATCAAAGACATCTCTATCGCTGGGAAATCCCAAGGTTGGTTTCACCAACCAAAGATAAAGGCCATAGTCAGGTCTTTGCCCCACACCTACTCACGTCACAAACAGGACCTTAAATTCATTCGAATGATTTAATCAGGTACTATATGCTAAAAGCAAGTCCTGGTGGTGTAGTGGGTTATACAATGGGCTGTTAACCACAAGGTCAGCAGTTTGATTCCACTAGCCCTTCTACAGAAGAAAGATGAGGCTTCCTTTGCCCATAAGATTTATGGCCTCGTAAGCACCCAGGGGCAGTTCTACTCTGCACTACGGGATTCCCGTGGGTCAGAGTTGGCATGAAGGCAGTGAGTTTGGTCTTTGGAAATAGTCTAAATAGTAATATATTGTCTTAAACAAGATGATATTTCCACCTTAAATCCTTTCTCTTAAGGACTTTTAAGCATTAAGGATTTTCTACCCCAGTTATGCCATAATAAAGCTCAAATTTTTTTCTATGGTCCAATTATCTTTTTCTAAGGGAAATTCTTTTATACATTCCTAGGCATACACATGTGTTGAAGACAGAGCAAACGTAGACTAGAGACACTGATCGCCTTTTTTTAAAAAACAAACCGACTTAAATGTATCCATTGAATTTTTTTCTTTTTAAAATAATTTTATTGAGAGCTCATATAACTCTTATCATAATCCATACATGCATGCTTTGTGTTAAACATATTCGTACATAAGTTGCCATCATCATTCTCAAAACATTTTCTTTCTACTTGAGCCCTTGGTATCAGCTCAATTTTTCCCCTCCCTCCCCATCCCTCTCCCTCCTAAACCTTTGATAATTTATAAATTATTATTATTTTGTCATGTCTTGCACTGTTTGTTGTCTCCCTTCATCCACTTTGCTGTTTTCCGTCCCCCAGGGAGGGGGTTATATGTAGATCCTTGTGATCAGTTCCCCCTTTCTACCTCACCCTCCCTCCACCCTCCTGGTATCGCCACTCTCACCACTGGTCCTGAAGGGTTGGTTCATCTGTCCTGGATTCCCTGTGTTTCCAGTTCCTATCTGTACCAGTGTACATCCTCTGGTCTAGCCACATTTGTAGCTAGAATTGGGATCATGATAGTGGGAGGGGAGGGTGAGGGAAACATTTAGGAACTAGAGGAAAGTTGTATGTGCACCCTGACTTCCCTGCGACCCTTCTGTAAGGGGTTGTCCAGTTGCCTACAGATGGGCTTTGGGTCCCCAACCCACACTCCCCCTCATTGATGATGATATGATTTTTTTGTTCTGATGATGCCTGATACCTCATTCTTTCAACACCTTGTGATCGCACAGGTTGGTGTGCTTCTTCCACGTAGACTTTGTTGCTTCTGAGCTAGATGGCTGCTTGTTTACCTTCAAGCCTTTAAGACCCAGATGCTATAGCACCACATTTGCTTATGCACCCATTTGTCTTCAGCGATCGTGTCGGGAAGGTAAGCATCAGTCTCCATGAATTATGACCTATATGTTTGACTCAATGATTATATCTTAATGTCATCTATTAGTATTTTGTCAACATCCATTATTAAGTCTCAGGACCTGTAGCCATAGAAGTAGAAGTATTGCATAAGCAATACATGTTTGACAAGACTAAGCTGTGTGCCTCTGCGGTGAGGGGTCAGGGTAGTGGCTACCTTTGGTGGGGGTGGCAGGGATACAGAGGAAGCTGGAGGGCACTAGGAATAATCCGTTCCTTGGACGAGGTGCTGGGTGTTCTGTTCGTGAAAATGGAGAAAGCTGCATGCTCACGACATGCACACTTTTCCCACAGCCGAAACTCTCCCCTGACTTACCTGTAAAAACTTATTTAATTGGTTCTTTGACTTCTCCATAAACTTTTGATCAACAGATTTGAAAGGCAGCTTGCTAATAGAAGGCAACTGGACTTTTTTTAAAGAAGGGAAACACTGTGGGAGGAAAAAAAATCAAATGTTAGCCTTTTGGTATTGTATTTTAATCTTCAAAAAAATCATGGTAATTGCTGTTAAATGCCTCCCAGCCCTTTGTGACTTGCAGTAACCCCATGTACGATAGAATGAAGCAGAACTGATCCATACGCCATCCTCACAATACTAAGTGTGACTGAGCCCACTCTTGAAGCCACTGTGTCAAGCAATAATTAACTAACTCAGAGGCATCACATATCTCACTTTGAGATTTGAGGCCATGAACTATTTCTGTATTAAAGAGCCTCAAAGACTCTGGAGGAATAGCACCTTTAGTGGAAAAAAGGCTGCAACTCATCCCCGACCAATATACACCTGAAAACTGGGAAAATCAAGGAACTCGGCTGATATAAGAGGCCTGCACACCACACCACAGCCACACAGTGTGCTGGACACGGAAACCTGTGACAGGAAGACAATGGTTCTCTTGCCATGTGCTTTGCTTATGACGTCTTTAAACAGTTACCACAGCTGGTAAAGTGAAAAATGGAAGAATCACTTGAATCGTAGCTATACTGCTGCTTTTCAACTGTAAACCGGATAATATAAATGAATAATAATAATGAGCTACATTATTAGATAGTAACAGTTGACCACCCTTTGTGAATGAAGTCCACTCTGCCAGTCCTACACAGTGCCAGCAGGCTTGTTTCCCCTTACAAGGCTTACTTACACTCGGAACTACTTGTTCCTATTTGACATTGAGAAGATCGCAGCTCAGATTAAAAGCCGGGCCGGTTCCCACAAGGCCTGCAGGTCAGCTCCTCTGACACCATGAGGGCAGTGCACTTGGTGCCAGCCCCCAGACCCATGTGTAACTGCTGGCCTTCAATAAGGCACGGGGGCCAATGGAAATTCCGAGTGAAAGTGACTGGTACTAAAAAGTAAACAAGCAGAGGGTCTGCCTCCCACAGCCTTCATTCCGATGGTCTTCATCAGCGTGGGACTGGGTCCTAGCAGGCCCCTGCTGACCTGGACACAGCAGAGGGCAGCAAGTACTAGGTAAGCATGGCATCATGTGCATATACGTGGAAAGGGACGAAGACAAGCTGGCCTTTCCTATCTAGGCCACGAGTCCACTGGCATTCACCGGAAGGCTGGGAGTCAGAGTCTAAATTCAAAGTAAATTTTACAGAAGTGAAATGGGCAGTGAGAGTGGGGAGAGAGCATTTAAATCACCAGGGGCCCAAAAGGGGCTTCCTGTCACAATTGTCAGAAGTAAGGGTCTTTCCAAAGATAAAAACACACACAAACTGGCACTAGCAAGGGCCAGAGACAAGCCTCGTTATGCCCACAGATGAGTAAAGACAGCAGTGAGATGGCTATACAGACAAGGCGTTCTGTGAGGTCTGTTTCTTCTATTACTTCAGGGTAAGTGCATTCATTTTCTAAATATATTTTACTTTCCAAGTATATTTTATTCCAAGTATTCCTCTATATTATCCTTTCCTTCTTTCCTTCTGTTTTCAATCAGCAAGTTTAGACAGAAGCTAAATTCGGGTTCACAACGGTTTGTCATACAGTAAGGAGCACATGATCACGGAGTGTCAAATTTACTCACCAATTTGGGGAACATTTGACCCAGATATACACTAAACATTTTTTCCGAACACGCTGTTGTGGGGACCAGCATCCAGAGATATTGTAGTAATACAGTCAGTTTTGGTCACCATCCTTTTAAAAGGAGTTAGTTATACTCTTTGGAAATTGGTGATTAAAAGGACTTTTAAAAATGGTCCTTAAGAATAAAGTTAAAGGAAATGCACATATATCATTTGCAAAAGAAGGGTCTAAGAAGTGACTGCATGGTTTTATCATTATTAGTTCATTCTGAGCAAGAGGAAATGTGAGGCTTAAATTGAAGAAGTGGATGGAGAGCACTTTAATTGAGAGGGTTACATAATCTGGTGTCAATTTGAGACTAAGATAGAAGGGGTGGAGTTCAGCCTGTCAATCAGGTTGCAGCTTGATGACCTCATTTGGAGGCACTATGGAGATAAATAGCTTACTGGAGGCCAGATATACACTCTCTCTCTCTGCTACACTTTCCTGTTGACAAGCCATCTGGAGCCAAGCTGATAGAGCCCGAGCACTGGAGCTGGAGGAGCGACCCCTGCCAGCAGTGGGATGCTTCCACTGCCACTGGATCCACAAGACAGTCCACCCACTGGCCTGTGATCTTCCTGCATTCTGTGTCATTGCATGTGTTGTGTGAGTCTGAAGAGGAATTTATAGATTGGTATTGGACATATGGGCTAATATTGGACTTTTGGACTTGATCTGGACTGGGCTGGGGTGTTTCCTTAATATACAATGACTCTTTGATATAAAGTACTCTATTACACACATATGAATCTCCCTGGATTTGTTTCTCTGGTCAACCCAGACTAACACAGAGGGGGAGGGCAATCACCCTCCAAGAGGAGAGTAGAGCAGATGCTGCCACTGAACGTGGGGTGGGGGTGGGGATAATGAGTGGCAAGCACAGCAACTGGATTCTAATTCTGGTTTGGCCACTATGGTCCCACGACACGTCAATTACACTCAAGGACAAGTCAAGTCAGACCACTTTCCTTCATATATCAAGTTTTTTTTAAAAAGAATTGTTCTAGATTAGTGGTTTCTAAACATTAGAAACAAAAAAGTACAATAGAAAGAAAACACATTTTACATCACAACCCATAATGTGCATGCAGATTTACATACCCATATATAGTGTACATGCATAGAAAACTGTAGTCCAATGAAGCAATGTCTATTACTACACAATGACAACTATCATGAATCCTACAATCGCCACAATAATGTTGCTATGTGCCACACACAAATGTTTTCTGCATATTGACTCTGTTAATTCTTACAACCTCATGCATTCACTTGCTACTATTAATGTTTATATTTTATTGATGAGAAAGCTGAGGCACAAAGTGATTGACAAGTCCAAAGTCATACGGCATCAAACGACCTCTGGAGTCTGCTTTTGGTTTCTTGACTCCCTTATGACATGGGATGCGCTCCAATATATTCTATCCTTTGTACTGTTGTAACCTATAGTGCCTCTAACCCATTTCACTACCCACATGAAGCACCTGGTAGCTTCAAAACCACTGGTCCTCCATGAACCATAGGTCCCTTCCGGTGCTGAGATTCTATGGCAACTTACAAGGGAGATCTGACAGTGATCTGTCCAGAGGAACCAGACCAGATTAGATGGTCGATGAGTAACATGTCAGGCTGAAAATGTCACTTTGCCACATCAACCAAAGAAAGAGAAAAGACTTATCAGTTTCCTTATCTGTTAAATTGAAATCTTGAATCTCTTTTTGGTCATTAATTCTACAATTCCATGTTCATAAAGATTCATACCTCACTAAGCTTCCGGTGTAAATTCTGAAACTCACTGAGCCTTCTGGGGACTGTCCAGTTCTTCGTTTCAACTCCTCCAACTTCTTGCAAGCTTACCATGACAAAGTAACAGGGCATTTGCTCCCCATTCTCTTCTGTCACCTTGAAAACAAGAGCAGCAACAAACAGGGCGAGTGCGTGTGGTTGGCAGAACTATAAATGATGTCCCCAAGAGTCCTCCCCGACCCTGTGATGTAAGTGTCCTGCAGTCCCTGAGGTTGGGACTCCAGCATGACGTTGCGTGCTACAGCACAGCTGCTCATAAAATGAGGAGGCTCTCTGGGTGGGTCAGGCCTCCTTATATGAGCCCTTTCAAAAGGAAGGAGGGAGTCAGAGCGATGCAAAGCATTAGAAGGGGTTGGCATGCTGACGCTGGCTTCAAGATGGGAGGGACACACGGAAGGAGCGGAGAGGACTTCTAGGGTTGAGTGTCACCCATTCAATAGCCAGTAAGAAAGCAGGGACCTCAGGCCTATGTCTGAAAGGAACTGAATTTTGTCAACAACAGAATTTAAGAGCTTAGGAAAGGCTCTTCCCCGCCACCCCCAACACACCTCCTCCCCCTTCCCCCCAACACCCCGAGCCTCCAGACAAGAACTCAAACATCTGGCTGACATCTTGATCTCAGTCTTATGATACAACCCCATCATGCTGGACTTCTGAACCACAGCCCATGGACTAATAAACAGGTGTTGCTTTAAACTACAAATATATCTGTGGTAATCTGTTATGTAATGACAGAAAACTAGCAAAGGAGGCCTAAAATCTTAGTTGCATTTCCTGAAGGAAAAACAACTAAACAGCAGGCAAGTCGCTGTGAGTGATCCCAGAATCCCTCCCCTTCATTTCAGGACTCAGCAAACTATCCTGTCTAGTCTCATGGAACTGGTCACCTAGAGATATAATTAGGAGGTAGAAGAAATTAACACACGCATGTGTGCGTGCACACAATCCAATACAATCATAATTCATGATAGGTCACTATTATTCTCAGCATCAATGAAGAGAGAATAAACAAAAAGAGAGGACACGGGAACTGTGTTTGAACTGGCATCACAAATGGGTTCAGTGAGCATCATTGAGAGATTTGCTGTGGCCCCTGACGTGCCCAGTGGGGGCAGACTAATATACCTACAAGGATGGCTAAGTGACTTTTCCAGGATCATATGTCTTGTAAGCACCTCTGTTCGTATCGAAACTCAGGAGGAGGGTCTGATGAATGTCAGTGTGCCCTGTACCACACATTCCTGTAGGGGTGGTTTTGTGAGCCCTGGCAGTGAAGTGATTCTGTCTCCGTCTCCTTTACCTCCCAGTGACCAAGGAATGACTGAGCAAGCTCTTGGGCAGCAGCAGAGGATCAGAGCAAAGTGCCTTGGTAATGGCTTTTTCTTTCTTTTTTAACATTTGTCTTTGAAATATGATCCTGACAGTCAGAGGCAGCTCTAGGCAAAAAGGAGGAAGTGGTAGTTTAATTTATTTCCCTCCCAGAAGCCTCTTTTACTATCTTTGATACTGTCTTGAACTCACTTCTTCCTAGACTTCAAGCCGAAAGACAACTCTAGCTACAATTATGGGCTTCCCAATGGCACGTCATGGCCGACCACAGACCTTGCCTGACTCCCTGGTCCAGCCGCTCCTTAAAAAGGGCATATTGTGATGCATCTTGTTTTAATGAGAGCACTAGTGAGTACCAAGGGCATGCTAAGAGTACTTGGCTCAACTCTCAGGTAGTGTTTGTGCTTTTAAAGAAGCTCATGGGGAATGCGCTGCTTCGTCTTGCTGCTTAATCCAGAGGGGAATTTAAGGCTGTGAACATTAAGTCCAGGACGTGTCTCAAGAGTCATTGGGTGGAGGGTGGCAGGAAAGGCAGGGTTACACAAAGATAATTTGGATAAATCCACCCTTGCAAAATCTCAGGTGCAGAGCGATCACTTTCTGTATGATGTGGTGAGAGATTGGATCTACAGCAGGCAGCCTGGTCTAATTCCCAGTCACAGGGCAGCAGCCTACTAAGATGGTGGCAAGGAGCTGGATGGTGTGGTGTAAAGGAATGGATGTGAGTTCTCCGTGCTCAATCCTAGTAACCTGGGATGAAATGGTGTCTTACGCATGCACACTCTGACAGCAAATGCGGAAGAATGCAGCTGGTCCTACCTCACCACTGGTGATGGAGGCTTTCCACAGGCCAAGGTTCTCACACCACCAGTCAGTTCTCGCCATGTGCAGCTGAAGGTCCGTGCGCTCCTTCTCTATGAGCATGATTTCATCCTTCAGCTTGGAGACAATCTGCCACAGAGAAAGCGCACTGTGAGCTGTGAACCCAGGTAGAATGTCATGCTCAGCACTGCCTTTTCTCATGTGTGTGAGGAGTGAGCCCCACAGGGTTTGTGCCTCTGCGGTGGTAGGAGAGCAGCTCTGTCCCCAAAGTCTCCTGAACCTGGAGTCTGCCAGGCTCTGTGCTCTCACAGAAAGCTTATCGATGCCATCCCCTAGCAATCTAGTATGGATAGGTGCCATGACTAGGTCTCATTTTCAGGAGACTCTGTTCTTGTTGCCCAATCAGCATGTCCACTCCCGGAGGGCAGGTCCCACACTCTATCTCACTGTACTCTTCAGTGACCAACACACTGTGCATTTCACTGTAGTTGATGTTTCTGGAGAGCTGAAGCCCTTGTTGATAAAGATCCAGGATTGCAGCCTGCAGTGTGGATTACATGCCTTGTAAAGGAGACCCAAATCCTCCCAACTGGACCGCTGGGTTCCCTAAACGGAGAGGAGGTTGTCGTGGTCAGGGACTTTGTCTTACTTGGATACACAATCGGTGCTCATGGAAGCAAAGGTCAGGAGCTCAAAAGATGTACTGCATGAGGTAAATCTGCTGCACAAGCCCTCTTTAGAGTATTGAAAGCAAGGATGCTCCTTTGAGGACTAAGGTGTGCCTAACCTAAGCCATGTTATTTTCCACTGCCTCACACGCATGTGAAAAGTGGACACTGAGTAAAGAAGACCTAAACAAGAATCTATTTGAATTACATTTGAATTGTGGTGCTGGAGAAGAGTGTTCAAAGTACCATGGTCAGCTAAAAGGGCAAACCGATCTGTCCTGGGAACAATATGGCCAGAGTGCTCCTTAGAGGCAGAGGCAGAGGCATACTTGGACCTTCTGTCAAGAGAGACCAGTCCCTGGAGATACCTGCTTGGTAGAGGGGTAGTGAAAAAGAGGAAGGCCCCCAAGGAGATGGGCTGACACAGTGGCTGCAGCAATGGGCTCAAGCATAGGAACAATTATGAAGATGGTACAGGATCTGGCAGTATTCCGTTCTGTTGCGCATGAGGTTGCTATGGGTCAGAGCCGACTTGACGGTACCTAACAACAACAACAACAACCTGTTTCTGAGATTCTGCCTGGATCACAATTTTATTTCCGCTATTGGTCGAAAATTGTACAATGTGCTCTAGAGTCTAAATATCTTTGTAGAGAGTGTTTAAAAAACAAATGACACACCCCAAACGTAGAAAGTACATTTCCGAAAATCAAACTCAAAGCTAGTTTTACATCCCTGCTGTTGTGGAGACCTGAGAAAGGGGGTGGAGGGTAAGCAAACCCTTGGCTTTACAGAGGGACAATGCCTGCTCACCATGGACTTGGGCAGGCCAAAAAGTACTCCTCCGCGGTTCCAGCGCAAACATGCACAGGCTTAGTACAAACACAATGTTTTAAACCTGGTTGGCTGCAGACGAGTTCTCTCAGTGATACATTTGCTTTAGTCTTGTTAAGTGTGCCTTCATAAGGATACACACACACACACACACACACACACACACAGAGTGTCATAGAAGTAAACAATTTTTAGGTCAGAGCTTATATCAAATTTTTAACAAAATACAAGTGGACATCTTTCCAAATCTTTTTAACAAATCTTTCCAAATCTTTGTAATAAGTTATGAGAATGGTGTCTCACAGGAATCAATTTTCAGATGGCTAAATTATTATAAGGAACATCAGAAAAGCCACAAAGATAAGTCAAAAGAGGTTGACTGTCAACTGCGACAAATGGAGAAATTGTGTGTGAAGTCCACAGGTGGTGGAAGAAGACCATACAATTAGAGGCAATAACCAAAGAATTACCCCTGGTGTGACAGTGACTGAAGTTGAGACCTCCCATGGTTTGGCATGCTCCAAACAGACATCTCGGCCTCAACAAGCTTTTGGCTCAGTGAATGCCAAAGGTGTTCTGTGAAGGTCAGCAAACTCATCTTCCTATTAGCTGATCTTTCCACTACTCTTTCCAAGTTAGTGAAGACCATTTTATGGCATAGTAATCAGGGGTGAGAGTCTTTGATTTACCAATAGGAATCCAAGTTTGGCTTCCAGGGGATCTGCTAGAAAAGTTAATTCAATACGAAGAGGCCAGCTCACAAGGCTATGAAGACTGTATTGAAGGATTCAAAAGGGTTCTTCTTGAGGGACAAAGGATGATCACACGGGCTAATAAAGAAGAACTTTTGAGAAAATGGAAAACTGCATTGGTGAGAAAAGGCCAGCAAAGGGGCACCAAAAGTTTGGGGGTTTTCTTCATCACGAGAGTGTACCCGCCTGCTGATTCTTCAAGGGTTAACATGGGCTGTCCTGGGAGAATTTCTTTGGGAATCTACCCTATCCATCCTCTTGCTTGGAGCTTGCCCCTTCTGGATTTATTTAGTTCTCCAAACTCAAAGTACATTTAAAATGAACACAATTTGAATCCTTTGAGAATGTCAAAACTTCTACTTTGATATGGTATAAATTGAAGAGCATTTTTTTTTAGATTATTTTAAAAGATTTTTATTGATAAAATTCACATCACACAATTAATTGTTTAACTATTTTAAATAGAGTCGTACACTCATCAGTCCAGTCAATTTTGGAACATTTTCTTCATTCTTGTATCCATTATTATTAACTCCCCATAACAACAAAACACAGAAGAACTTTACACCATATGACAAAAACTAGCACAATGTGAAAACTGGCTCAAAGGAAAAGCAAATGGTAAAATGTTGAGTTTTCCCCTTTATCTGCAGTCATCCATGTCCCAGTGCACGCTGGTGGCAAGACTACTCGCAGCTTTGAGAAGGGACACAGGGAGTGCAACGGTCAGAAACAGAAACAACGCCCAAGAATGGAGAGACAGGAATGGAGGGTATGCCCAGAAACAACAAACTGACATTTTGATACTTATGTTTGTGGTTATTCAAGTCCTTAGCCCGCTTTATAACTGGGTTATTTGTCTTTCTGCTGTGAAGTTACTGAAATTATTACTCTTATCAGATAGATGTTTTCTAAATATATTCTCCCAATTAGTAGCTTGTATTTTCACTGTTTTTGGCAGTCTTTTGAGGACTAAAGTTTTTTGTTTTTTTAATCATTTAGGGGTTATTTTAATTTTAAAATGATTTAATCATTTTAATCATTAATGGGGGCTCATACAACTCATCACAATCCATACATACATCAATTGTATAAAGCACATTTGTACATTCATTACCCTCATCATTCTCAAAACACTTGCTCTCCACTTAAGCCCCTGACATCAGCTCCTCATTTTTCTTTTTTTCCCTCTCCCTCCCTGCACCCTTCTCCCTCATTAACCCTTGATAATTTATAAATTATTATTTTGTCATATCTTACACTGTCCGACATCTCCCTTCACCCACTTTTCTGTTGTCTGGCCCCCAGGGAGGGGGTTATATGTAGATCCTTGCAATCAGTTCCCCCTTTCCACCCCACCTTCTCTCCACTCTCCCGATATCGCCACTCTCACCACTGGTCCTGAGGGGTTCATCTGTCCTGGATTCCTTGTGTTTCCAGTTTCTATCTGTACCAGTGTACATCCTCTGGTCTAGCCAGATTTGTAAGGTAGAATTGGGATCATGATAGTGGGTGGAGAGGAAGCATTTAGGAACTAGAGGAAAGTTGTATGTTTCATCATTGTTACACTGCACCCTGACTGGCTAGTCTCTTCCCCATGACCCTTCCATATGGGGATGTCCAGTTGCCTACAGATGGGCTTTGGGTCTCCACTCCGCACTCCCCTTCATTCACAGTAATATGATATTTTGTTCTTTGATGCCTGATACCTAATCCCTTCAGCACCTCGTGATCACACAGGCTGGTGTGCTTCTGCCATGTGGGCTTTGTTGCTTCTGAGCTAGATGGCCGCTTGTTTACCTTCAAACCTTTAAGACCCCAGACGTTATATCTTTTGATAGCCGGGCACCATCAGGTTTCTTCACCACATTTGCTTATGCACCCGCTTGTCTTCAATGATTGTGTCGGGAAGGTGAGCATCATGGAATGCCAGTTTAATAGAACAAAGTATTCTTGCGTTGAGGGAGTACTTGAGTGGAGGTCCAATGGAGGACTCAAGTTTTTCATTTTTATGAGATCTCACTAATTTGTCTTTTACGGTTTGTGCTTTTGTTATTATATCAGATAACCAATTGGTAAAAACTAGGTCTTTCAGCCTTGCCCCTGCTTTATCCTTTAAAAAATTTTGTGGTTTTAGTTTGTCTATTTAGGTCCTTGGCCTACCTTTGTTTTAATATATGATGTGAGAAATGGAAATTATTAAATTATTCTTGTTTTTACAATTTTCGCAGCATTCTATTGAAAAAGACCCTTCTATTCCCTTTGCATGGGTTTAGGACCCTGGTCAAAAACCAGTTGACAGCAGCTCTGGAGTTTACTTCTGGACTTTCGATTCCCTTCCTTAGTCCACGTCTTGATGGCCAAGGCTGTCCAGTATGTTTTAAAATGAGGACGTGAGTTCCCCTACTTTGTTCTTCTCCTTCAACACTGCTTTAAGTCTTCGCGGTCCCTGGCCATTCCACCCATACAAACTTTAAGGACTGATTTTTCCTATGTTTAGAAAGATCTGAAATGGTTTTATTTAGCATTGTTTTCCAGGTAGCCCGCTTGAAACCCTCAAACCACATTCATAAGGTGCTGGAGGGGAGCGTGTTGGCAGAACACCACCATCTATCACTCTGCTGAACTCCACAGAGCAAAAGCAGCTGCATCAGAGCCTGCGTGGAATACAGATAAATGAGATCCTGTTCACCTTTTTAAAATTTCAAATTCTGCTGGCTTTCAGCAACACCAACAAAAAAGTATTTTCTGCATGCTTCTGTGAGTCTCAAATTTTACTTGAGGCATTAAAAAAGGGAGAGGGAAGAAAGGCTGTCCTTTAGTATCTCACTGCATTCTAGACAGGACGTTGACAAAGAAAAAACTTTTCCCGCTTTCCCCAAAGAAATTTAAGGCAAGCCAGATACAAAGAATACAAAGTTATTCATAGTAAATGATTAAGAAAGAACCTCAAACCACAAAAGATGAAGAGCAATGTCTTTCTAATTCTGTACTAGAAGTAAAATACTAGCAATTACATCAATGGGATTTGCACATTTAAAATTATTTTTAAAGATGCTGTGAAATTTTCAACATGAACTGAGGACTATTTATCAAATTTAACAAAGGGAAACTTTGGAGACACAGCCTTGAAAACAAAAGAGTTACCTTCTTGTCAGGTTTTGGTGCATTTTGAATAGAATTTAGAGCTTGCCTTTTATATTCAAGCTTATCATTTAGCTCTCGAAGTTTGTTTATGGCAAAACTGGCTTGTTCGTTAATCCGTGCCGCACCTTCCTCTACAGCTTCCTCACCAGGCTCGGCTCCCTGGTTCTGGGGGGAAAGGTCACAAGAATCACTGTACTTTATAGAGAGAGAATAGTCAGTAATCATTATCTATGATAGTGATTCTAGATCATCACAGTACTTTTCCACAGCACCAGATTGTGGTAAGGTGAGACTATTACAAGCCTAGAAGCCCGTTCTCAGCCACAAATGTTCCACCTACACACTATTTGGCCTCACTTCTTAGGAGCCAAACTAGGTGTGGGTGTGTCTAAGACAGGGAGACCACTGACTCACTACTGTCAGGTCGTCTCAAGGAGCAAAGGGGCAAGACGAGTGGTCCAAGATAATTCAAGGCTTGTTTGTTTGTTTAATATACTTCTTTTTTTAAAAAAATCATTTTATTGGGGCTCATACAACTCTTATCACAATCCACACATACAT